AACATATATAAATTGAGAATTAAATGATTGGAGGGATATTCAATGTTCATGGCTAGGTTGAGTCAATATAGTGAAAATGAAAATATGTACATTTTTATACTTAATTTGATAAAAATAAAATACTAATGATCTAGCTCATTGAATGAATTAATATGACAAAATTTATATGGAAAAATATTATAGGAGCTTATGAAAATAGAATAATGGAGTATGGGGGAATTACACTGGTATTAGATAAAAATAGAAAAGTAGGTCAATGAGACAGAATAGTTAATCTAGAATTAAAATTAAAGATGTACTGATGTTTGATTGGGGATGGATGACTGGGGGAGGAAATGTGCAGAGTTTTGATTTAATTGGAATGAGGGGCTCATAATGTGGAAACTTCTTCCACCAATTCAGATTGGCAACTCTTCCATAATGATAGTCTTTAAAAATTTGCCTGTGGGAACTGAAAGGTTAAGGGCTTGCCCAAGGTCACATAGATATATAGCAGAGGTATAACTTGAATCCATATCTTCTTGGCTCTAAGTCTAGTTCTCTTTCCACTACCTCACTTTGCTTCTCATGTTTGATAAATCTAGTTTGATAAAACAAATTATTCCACTAAAATGTTACTCATTATGGCATTGAGTTCTCACAATGAGGAATTCATAGATCCTTAAAGTATTTAAATATTAAAATGACAAACACTCAATCTTCTTCAATAAAATTGTATGGAACATGAAATGGCAGTTTAACAAGAAAAATTACTAGATTCACATCTCACCCAATTTTATGGAAAAGGAAGGGAGAGTTGTGCTGAGGAAGAGCTGTTTTTAGAGTCCAAGGTCTTGCATCAGAATCCTACCTCTGCGACTTATATGACATTTTACTAGTCACTCAACCACCTGAGGCTCAGTTTTTTTAAGTATAAAATAATGAGGTTGGACAAGATGACCTCAAAGGTCCCATCTGGAATCTATAATTTTATAAAGCTCCATGTGGATCAATGCTCTAGTATTATAGAAATCAAAAAAATTAGAAGGGAAAAGAATGATTTCTATCACAGTTTTGGAAAAGAGGAATATTTCTATTCAGTGAACAAAAAGAATCTGTTATAGGAGACAAAACAAATTGATTTGATTCCATAAATATAAGGAGTTTGTGAGGAGAAGAGTAAGACAACCAACTTAAGAGGCAAGAAAACAGTTCCATAAAAGATCTCTAGATTGTAAATATATTTGATTAAAAACCTGGTATCCAAAAAGTATAAGGACATCATACTACTTCACATATAAAGTCGTTAATTTTTCCACATCCATGCTTTTAATACAGCCTCTTGCAGAGTGCAGATGCTTAATAAATGTTGATTGACTTGAATTTCCCAATATTTAAATAGTTGAATGATATGAATAGGCAATTTATTATTAATCATATACAAAACTGTTCAAACTATTAATCAGGAAAATTAAAATTAAAACCACAGTCAGGCATCATTTATACCTACCAAACTGACAAAAATAAGTAAACAGAATAACATTCTATCTTGGCAGAGCTATAGAGAAACAAGAATACCATTAAACTGCTGGTAGAACTTTGAATTGGTGAATTCATTTTGGAAAGCAATATAGCAACATACAAGAACAAAACATGGACCTCACCCCTGAAACTTTAGCGTAAGACTGTTATTCAGAGAAAAAAATATATACCGTTCTGTAAAAAAATATTCAGAGCTGTTTCATTTGTAAAATTGGAAATAACCCGTATGTTCAATGATTGGAGACTAGATGAATAAATTGTATCAACAGAAATATATTATTTGTCATTAGAAATGATCAGTTCAACATGCATTTTACAAATATGAAGAATACAAAAAAATATGGAAAGACATGTGAAGTAGTGAAGAGTGAAGGAAGAATATATTTACACAAAACTATGACTATGTTTTTTTTAAACAATAAGAATTTTAAAAACTTCACAAAAGAAAGCAAGATTAAAATCAGAATTTCTGAGTTAGAAGGGACCTCAGAGGTCACATAGCTCTATCCATTCCTGGAAGAACAACAATAACATGCTGTATACAACATACCTGTTGAATGCCATCCAGCTTTTCCTTAAAGAAAGGAAACTCACCAATTCCAGAGGCAAATCTTTCCACTTTTGGAGGGATGGCTCTAATTGGTAGGAAGTCTTTCCTTACTTTGAGTCTATATTTCTTTCTTTGTAACTTACATTTACTGTCTCTGGGGCCAAGTTTTGCCTTCTGGAGCCAACTAGAAATCTAATCCCTTTTTCATATGATAGACTTTCAAATACTTGAAGACAGCTATCCATGCCCACCCAGATTGGCCAGGGGATGCAAAAACAAACACGATTTTTTTGTTATTATTTTGTTCAATTTACTGTACTCATTTTAAAAGCAAATTTTAAATAATTTCAAATCTGCAACTTTGCACATTATTTCATTTTATAGATCACTTGATGGTTACTGAGCTTAGGATTTGAAATTTGTCCAAAAAAAAGTGAAACAGGTTCACACAGTAACAGCTGCTTTCTGTCTCTTCTAATTCCTCATGATTTGAGATTAAAGATCTGGCTTTTTCTATAGTTCAAACAGTTCAAGCTGTTCTAAGGAAAGATTGATTTAGTGTACCACTATGGGAGTCAGTTTTCGTGAAAATGTCGTGAGGTCTTACTCAGTCCAAGAATACGTCATTCATTCTGTAACTTTTGATTGATAAAAGGAACATTGCGCAAAACATGTTGGGATATCCAAGGTATGTAGGCATCATTTTAAAAAGACAAATTGCCATTTTAAAGTTACTACAATAAAGTTCATCTGATATGGTCTATGATTTTGATGGTACAGGGAATTTGCTGTGTGGGAAGTCCCTCTATTAATCCTGATTGCAAATGTCTATAACTTAGTAACTTAATCCTAGTGGCACCCAGAGGTTAAGGGCATTGCATAGGGCCACACTAATAGTGTCAGTGTTAGGATCTAAAACTAGATCTTCCTGTCTCCAAGCCCAGAACTCTGCCTCTGTTCATCTGAGAACCTTGATTAGTATAATGTAACTGCAGGCAACAGGTTTAAGGATCATTCCTTTCGCAGTGGGCAAAATGGTGTAAGTATCAGACCTCCTGTGCTCTTTCTATTTTGTATAGATATACCTGGTTTCAGAAATTTTACATAAAATAAATCCTTTTAAGAATCTGGTGCATGGGGAGATGAGTTTGAAGTGATGTAAAGGGAAATTATCAGAATCAGGAGAGCAATGTATACATCATGACTGAAATAACACAAACAAAAACACTAAAAAGGCAACTGGAGGCAGAATATTTGGAAAAACCAAGCTGGGATCCAAAGACGATCAAACTTTCTTATTTTGGTAGAGAAGTTGAGTGTATGTGGGTGCTATGGGGGTTAATGTTGCATATACTTCCAGATACTGTGGTTTTTCGTAACTAATTTACTTTGTTATAGGGAAGGTTTTATAACTGGGATGATATATACCAGAGAATAACTGTTATAAAACTATCAATAAAACTTTTAAAATGCACAAATGGGAGCTTTCTATTGAAAAGACTCCTATTGTGAATTCTTTTGTAAATCAAATAATTCCCTTATCTTAGACTAAATCTGAATGTTCATGTAGTGATGGTACATGAAAAGAGGTAAACCTGCACCAGAATTGGGCCGAGAGCTACTTCTCATTTGATGAGTAAGTTTGAGGCCAAAGCTCCTTTAGTCCTCGAGTTTAAAGTGTAAATGAGAAAATTCATTGGTTGTTTTTGGTCATTTTCTATTCTCACTTTCTGAAGAGACTAGGGACCCAATACTTTTTGTAAGGTAATTTCTATTCTTTTGAACAGGGCCCTTTTTCTTTGAACAGGCTTTTTTTTTCTCCTTCTTTTTTTCTTATTCTCTGTTAACATGTGGTTTGGGGAAACAAACCTAAGTGATTTGTTGACTTTTAAAAGTTGAGACTTTGCAACTTTTCCCTTTACTGAAAAGTGTGAATCACAGGCCTGTAAAAGAGTGTAGCAGCTGCCTAGTCTTAGAGTGTAGCCACCTCCACCACCAGAAGACCCCACTCCTGCCATGTACCGCCCTTACAGGAACGGGGCCGTTTTTGTATTGTCCCCAAAACTATAAAGTAGAAAGACTTAAACCAGAGCGGTCCGCAATGAAAGCTTTTCGAGTCTCCCTAGTGTATACCAACGCGGCTGCTTCCTGAAACCAGGCTAACGCCGGGCTCCCGAACACCGACCAGCCTGCTAAAGGCATAGTGACCTGCTATGCCATAGCGTCAGAGCACAGATATCTTACAGCCAAAGCCAGAGAGATCAACCTAGAAGCTGTGACGGCCCGACCCGGCACAGCCCAGCCCCAAAAGAGCTGTCCGGGCCAGGGTGGTCCGGCCATGCCGGGCCTTAGGGTTCTCAGGTTTCAGGTGGAGGCGAGTCCCTATCTCCCTTCTCCCGTCAGACCCTGGACAGCGCTCTCCTGATCACAGTATTTTTTTTTTTTTAAAAGGCAAACCTGAACCATTGCTGGTCACTCTGGTGCCCGGCGCCACGTCTGCAGAAACCCAGTGCCGCTTGGACTGGTCCAGACAGCCCCCAGGGCCACGTCTCACTGACGGTCCAGAGCTCGGGAGGATCCAACCCAACTTCCCAGAGTTTCCTAGGGTCTCAGGCCCTTTTACAGCCCCGAGTGGAAACCCTGGGCTCCCTAAAGAGACTGTCCCAGCCCCTGGCCAGGCGGCAGGGCCACGCGAGATCTGTGTGGGGACGGTGGGCAATGGGGATAGGCAGACGCCGGGCACCAGCTCCCGGGAGCCGAGGGCTGGGGGAAACAGCTCCGGGCCATGCGCCTGGAGCCCAGCATGGTCTCCGGGTGTGGTCGCCCCCTCCCATTCAGGAGGAGACTTTGGGCCTCAGTAGATCTCTTGCCCTGGCCCTCCCCCATCCTCTCCCTTCCTCCTCCTGCTACCCCGCCCAGCAGAGCCCACCTGAGTCGGTGAGACGGGGTCTGGCGCGGTCCCGCAGGTAATGGATAAAATCCTGGCAGCTGTCGTGCTCTACCGCCCCGCTGGAGCACAGCTCGGCCAGCAGCTGCAGTGCCTTCTGACAGATCTCGTCCCTGGCCCCGGGCATCGCCCCCCAGCATCCTCGGGACAGGTCGCCGGAGAGCCCTCCGCCCGCTCAGACACGCCTTTGCCTCCGCTGCCGCTGCTGCTTCCCCTGGCCGCCTGCAGCCACCGGCCGCCCCCAGCTGACTAGAGCAGGGGCGCGCAGCCACTGGGGGACCTGACCGTCAGTCCGCGAGGCTTCACTCGCGCTCTCTTGGGTCCGGAGGGTGGCTGGTGGATGGTAGGACGACCAGAGCCTGGTCTCGGGCGTTGGGTCCCACCGGTTGCATGCAGTTCTCCCTCTCCGTGCCGAGAAGCGGCGCAGCCGGAGCCTGCGGGCTGACGGGCGGCTGGCGAGCGCTCTCTCGCTCTTTCTCTCCTCTCGCTGGCTCTGCCTCAGCCCTGCTAGGGCGCAGCTCTCCCTGGCGGCCGGAGCCCTCAGTGCCGGCGGCTGAAGAGCAAGAGGCGGGGCTCAGAGAGGTGGGGAGATCTTGCCCGAGGGTCTGGAGGGATCAGACCTGCCCCTCCCTCTGCTCCTTTTCCGGGTTCAGGACATGGCCCTCTCCACCTCAGCTTGCTTCCCAGGGCACAGTAATAACAGAGACTTACACAGCTGCTCACGGGATTCGCCAGGTTGTGAGGACTCGCTCCAAATGCAGTCCCCTTGATTGCATCCACCCGGGCCGGGACTCAAATTCCCTCCCCCATTCCTACGGCGTGGCCTTTACACGGATGAATGACCTAAAGAAGACAGATGGAACAGGATAGAGCAAGGAATAACGGAGTCAGTGCTGCGTGCCTGGAAAACTGTCAGTTTGTAGAGGACCACCCAGGCCTCCAAAAGTGAGCTGTAACCTAGAGTATAGGGACACGATTAAAGGACCCATATCAGATGGCTGCGTTTAGCTTCCTGCAGGGACTTTCCCAGAAATGCTTCCCTCTTCTCTCTTTCTCTCCTTTCCCCTATTTCAAGGTAGCATCCCTGGAAGCAGCCACTCCCAAGTCTAGCTAATATAAAACAAATTGTCATCTGTGGAACGGTAACATGTTTTCAGGAGGCCATGTTGTAATAACTGAAACTTTGGGTGACTACTGAGAAATATTAAACAAGAGCTGAACGTGAAAATTTGTCAGAATGCCTCAGATACTGTCCAATGAAAGAGAATCTCAGTTCTAGAGCTGGGAGGAAGCTCCGAGATCATTTAGTTCAATCTCTTCATTTTACAGATGAGGAAACTGAGGCCTAGAAAAGTTAAATGACTTGCCTACAGTCATACAGCTATTAAGTGGTAGAGTCTAGATTCTGATCTAGGCTGTAGGTAGAGTCTCCAGTCCCCTGACTTCAAGTTTAGTAAGGAGTTCAGTAGTCTTTTCACTTGCCTCCACTGCCTAATGACAGAGCAGTCACCTCCTTAAAACAAACCAAAAAACAGTAATCAGGCTATCACAGGATGAACATCATTCATAAATACTTATTGAGGACATACCATGTGCAAGGTTCTGTGCTAAGTAGTAGGGATAGAAATGTGTCTAATGTGTCTAATGTGTCTTAATGAACTTGTAGCCTAATTGAGAAGGATAAAACATGTACATGTGAAAGTTTTAACAGTATAAGACATAGTTTATAGGCTTAGAGCTGAAAGGGACTTCAGAGGCCAAGCAGTTTATCCCCTTGTTTTTTAACTCAGGAAAGTTAAGTGACTTGCACAAGGGCACTATAGATTTAAGTTCTGAAAGGTAGGATTTGAACCTGGATCCTCTCCCCCAAAGCTAGTGTTCTTTTCCCTGAACCACACTTACTCATGTCATTTTCCAGTCATGTACAACTCTTTGTGACCTCATTTGGTGTTATCTTGCCAAAGATACCAGAGTGGTTTTGCCATTTCCTTCTCCAGATCATTTTGCAGATGAGAAAACTGAGGCAAACAGGATTTAGTGACTTGTTAGTAAATGACTCAGCTAGTAAGTGTCTGAGGAGAGATTTGAAGTCAGGAAGATAAGTGTTCCTAACTCCAGGCCCAGCCCTCTATCCACTGTACCACCTAGCTACCTCTGAACCACACTGTTTCTCTGTTAGTAATTCTGTCTAGCCAGACTAAGCCACTTGCCCCAGAGGAAGGAGAGGAGACTAGTAGACAGTAAAAGCTTGAAAGACTGATGAATCCAGGATGAATCCAAAGAAGTTCTAAAAATCCCTTTGTGCAGCCATATCTAATTTACTTATGACTGTTGTATTCAAAAGGTACCTGAACTCTGTTCTTTTAGATTAGTGCTTTGAAAAAGGCTCCAGGTCAGTTTATTTTCCCTACCGAGTATACAACAGTGGGGTTCCTAACCACTGTGACAATTCTGATCTAGGCTGTAGGTCTAGGCATGGCTAGTTTTCCTGGAGCCACCACAGACACTGCTTTGCCTCTGAAGCCAGAATGGATAGCTAAAAAAAATGGGCAGAGGATGGAGCACATTGGTATGTGCATTTTTCTATCCTTTCTGTACAGGTAAGTCTTGATTAGTGAATGATGAATTATGAATACCATCAAGTGGATATATTTCTCAAATTTGTGCTGCATATTTTCATTGGACTGAGCCAATAATTCTAACTCTGAATAGTACAGATTTAAACATGTGTGATTATTTCATGGGATTTGTTAGTCACACTAATTAAGACCAGACTATATATGCATATCAATGATGGTTTGTATATTGGCAATACTATAGTTACATTTAACGAGGAGAGAGCAATGTTTCCATTCCTTGAGACCTGAATTGGACTCTTACAAGTATCTAGCGACTTCCAACGGAGTGATACGGATTATGCTATGGTGGGGGAAGAGCACTGTGAGTTGGACTGTAAGGGTAGCCTTCATCCCTAATAACCGGAAATTTGCTATTTTCTGAGGCTGCTTTGCCCCCAGTTATGGATGACTCTGTTGCTAGGAAGTTTGTATTTGTATAGAGCCTAAATTTTCCTTTGTACCTTCTAATCATGGCTTCTCCTGTGGTACTACTTTCTTAGACCAGCCAAAGCAAATCTAATGATAAATGAGCTGGCTGTAATATTTAAAGGAATGATTAATACTTGTACCTCAGAGACATCTAGTCATTAGCTGATCTTTAGGGCATGTGTCCAGCGTGGCTTTTCAGTAATTCCATTCCATAAGCACTCACTAAGTAACTCTGGTGTGCCAGACACTAGGCTTGCTGCTGGGGATACAAAGTTCAAAGTGAAACAGTCATAGGATTTGGAATGGGAAGGGACCTTAGAGGTCCATCAAGTCCTCTGATGAGGAAACTGAGGCTCAGAGAGAGTGTCTTGTCCAGGGTCACAAAAGTAGTGTCTGAGGTAGGATTTGAATTCAAGTCTTCCCAACTCTTAGTCCAATGCCATATCTCTTACACCACCTGACTATACTCAAGAATTTGATATTCTTTTGTGGGGAACAACATGCATATAGTTAAACAAATGTAAAGTAATTTCTAGGAGAGGACACCAATAATAATAGCTAACATTTTTTATAGTGATTACTATGTGCCAGACACTGTGCTAAGTGTTTTGCAATTATTATCTTATTTGATCCTCAGAACAATCCTGGGAAGTAGGTGTTACTATTATCCCTATTTTACAGATGAGGAAAAAGAAACAAACAGAAGTTAAGTGACTTGCCCAGAGTTAAACAGGTAGGAAGTGTCTGAGGCTGGATGTCAACTCAGGTCTTCCTAACTCAAGTGGGTGTTCTACCCACTGTGCCACCTAATTAGGGGTATCAGGAAAGGCTTCCTGTACTAGGTGACACTTAAGCTAAGTGTTCGAGAAAGCTAGGAATTCTAAGGCATGGGAGAGGAAGGAAGTGCATTGTAGTCATTGGGGAGGGGGTGGTACACAGCCTGAGCAAAGGTGTGGAGATAGGAGATGGGATTCCACATAATAGGAATAGCAAGTAGGTCAGTTTGGCTAAAGCATAGAGTGTGTGAAGAAGAGTAATGAACAGTAAGCCTGGCAAGTCAGGCTTGGGTCTGGCCGTGAAGGTCTTTAAACACCCAACTTGAATGTTTGTATTTTATCCTAGAAACAATAGGGGGCCCTGGATCTCCTTGAGCAGGGAAGTGACGCGGTCCATCCTTTGATTTAAGCATATAATTGGGGAAATATGTGGAGGATGATTTAGAGAAGGAGAGAGAAGGCAGGGAGGCCAAATAAGTAGGCTGTTGCAATAATCTAAGCAAGTGGTGATGAGACTCTTTCCTAGCATGTTGGTCATGTGAGGAAAGAGAAGTGGACGGATGTGAAAGATGATGTGGGGGTTGAATAGAGAAAATGGGACCACTAATTGGATGTGGAGTGAGGGAGAGAGAGGACTTGAGCATAATTCCAAGGTTGCAAACCCAAATGACTAGACAAATGGTGGTGCCCTTGATGGGAAATAAGGAAGTTCAGATTAGGAGGTGGGTTTGGGGGAAAGTTAATAAATTCTTCCTAGGGAATCTTGAGCCTGAGTAGCCTGTCCATATCTCTTCAAAGGAGACAAAATTAGGAATTATTTAGGCCTATGGTTTTATTTAATTATTATCTTAGACCCTCCAAAAAGTTTCTACCCCTTCTATCATAACCATTGAAAAAAGAAAACAAACTTTAGAGTCTTCAAGGTGCTTCTACAACCAAACAGCTGTTCAGAGGTCTGCCAGGGAGCAGTCCTATTACAAAGGGCAGCATATGCTAGAGAGCAGGAGGAAGGAAGGCACTGCAGGCAACAGGGCCAGCCAGCCTACTCCCATTCGAAGAATACACTAACACATAATTATTCTGGACTCTGCAACCTCAGTATTCACCCTTCAACTCTCCCTTTCCTCCACGTCCTCTTGGAAGTTATAGCACAGGCTGCAAAAGTAGGGTAAGTTTATTTTATTTGGCCTTACCTCCGCTTTGAAATGCCCCAATATTCACTCACTTATTCCACCTACTTATTATGCCTTACTTAATTACACCTGAACCTGACAAAGAATCTGATGAACCTGTCCACAATAAGG